TTATTTATATTTTTTTTTGTGGCAGAACCGGGGATTGAACTCAGGCCCTTACGCTTGCCAGGGAAGTGCTTATTCCATTGAGCCATCTCCCCAGCCCTGCATTCTTAAAAAAATGTCAAGACTGGCCAGGCACAGAGACAGACACCTGTAACTCCACCACTCAGGAGGCTGAGGCAGGAAGGTTTCAAGTTGAGGCCAGCCTGAAACATATGCAAGACCCTGTCTCAACAAAAGAAACAAAAGTCAAGATGAAGGAACATAAAGAACTATTGAAGACCTGGATGCCTTGCACACACCTGTAATCTGGGGTTCTTGGGAGGCTGAGGCAGGAGGACTAGAAATTCAAGGCTAATCTGGGACTTTTAGTGAAACTCTGGTGTCAAAAATTTGTTTTTTAAAGGAAGACTGGGATGTAGCTCTGTAAGAAGTTCCCAGGCTTGACTTTCAGTGTGAAAAAGAAAGAAAGGGAGGAAGAAATAAAGAAAGTCATTCAATCTTCAAACTAGGTGAAGTACAAGAAATGACCAAGAAACAAGATATGATTTCAAATAGTAGTCAAAGGCTGCAGTGGATTTGTGATGGAGCCAGGCATGGTAGCACATGCTTATAATCTCAGCACTTGGGAGGCTGAGGCAGGAGGATTGCTGCAAGTTTGAGGCCAGCCTGGGCTCTGTAGTGGGTCCAAGGCTATCCTGAGTGGTACAGGGAGATCCTGTTTAAGTTGAAAAAGATTTGTGATGATACAGAGGATTGACCACCAAAAGAATGAAGTGGATGATTTCTGTGTTGGGTACCCAGAGAGATGAGTGTTACCAGGGTATTAGGGGGGCTGCATATTGGTGTGCTTTTAGCTGGTCATTAACCAGATTCATTTGGATGCTTGGGCCTGTGCTGGGGCCGGGGACAGAGGAATGGTGAGCAAGATGAACATGGTCCTTCCCTGCAGAGGCTGTGGTTCCAGGACCCGCGGAAAACCTGGTGCCTACAGAAACTGCCATTGTCAACGTGCAGTTCTAGAGAACAGATGGACAGGGGCCAGGATGGAGCTTAGCGAGCACGGGCATGATCGCTGTCCTCTTGGTGAGTGTGACAGCAGAGCCAGGCCTAGATGGTAGTGGAGAGCCCGCAAGGGTAGAGCAGAGATGACAGCACAATCAGCAGGTACAATCAAAGGTGACAGTGCCTGTGAGGTTGGGGCAGGTGTCAGGGTGTGGGTGTGGCTGATGCAGCAGCCCCTGAAGGGGGCATCTAGAAGGAGGCAGGGGCACAGCCCAGGCTGGGAAGGGGGTTGTGCAAATTTGGGGTTTCCTCTGAGAGAGAGGCCTCTGAAGAGTTTTACCTGGGAGATGAAGCGACCTGGATAATGTTTTAAGGAGAAGCTTGATAGGGCATGTTGGCACACATTTACAGTC